AAAAAAAAAAAGATGTCACCCCCTAGGAGCCACCATCTTCCCGCAGATGCTGTGAATACAAGGGGCATCTCACCTGCAAGTTCACCCCACAGGGACAATGTCTCCAAAGGATAAAATACCACTTTGTGTAGCATAATTAAAAGAAATGACAGGAAAAAAAGATTCCCCCCACTGCCTTGAAAATCAGAAACAGAGACAGCATAAGTAATGACAAGGAGTGTCTTTCAAGCACCGGTGACAGGTAGAAAAGTTGTACTCCCAACAAAGAAGGCACACAATGGCGAGCTCGTCGATGAATAGGGACCACGTCTGTCTAACTTTGTGCAGCATGCCACAGACTGCCAAGTACCTGTGGGTGCTTAATAAATGCCTTTGAAGGATGATGAATGCCGTCATTATTACATCTGCCATTATATTTTTTAGTGAATGAACCTTCCTTATCAATCTTTATAACCACAATTTCAATAGTATTAATTCAGCCACCTCCCATACCAAGTGCTTTTCTAAATGCTAGTCCTCAAACCTTGTCAAAAAACAATGCATTTGATTTTTGCAATGTCACATGCCAGTATCAAAGAAAATTTAACTCATATGCTATCTTCTCAAATGGTTGTGGCACAATGTGGCTCGTAAGGAATATAAAAGAATTATTTTCCAGTTTCCAGTCTGTAGCAGTACTTTAATTTTTCGTGTGATATTGAAGACTCCTTTCAAAATGCTTTTTTGATATTAGCAGTATATGATTTTTGAAAACAAAGAGCCATTGTTTCTAGACGTGGTTGCTTAAAAAGTAGACACTTGAAAATTGCTTGTAAACTACAACAATTTCTGTATTTTTTTAGCACTCACTCCTTAAATCGAGGTGGGGCACAAAACCTAAAAATACACAGATGTTTTTTCATAAACAGAAAACAGTGACTTTCTTAATCTACTGGTCATTTTTAACGCATGTTACCTCTATAGTCTTCAAGTCAAGCTTAGATCAGACCCATTCTCGGTCCAGCCCAAATAGCCTCTTCCTCCTCTGAAATTATAAAATCTATTGTTTCTCACACTCATTTGACAAAATGTGAAAACTCCTACCTCCCTTCCTCTCTCCCTCTCTATTTCTCTTCTGCCCTCCCTCCTGTCTTTCCCCAAACAAGGAGGCTACTGACTCTGTAAACAGACATCAGCTAAAAGTTCAGCAGTTCCAATAGCAGTAAGACAGCCCTGCCAGCAAAGCACACGCAGTCTCACAGGGAACACAGATCCTCGGCAATGAAGTAAAATTCTGCACAGAGAAGGCCGTCTCAGCAGGCTGAGCAGGGGACCAGCAAATATGGAGCCAGGTGTCATCAGTTTGTGGAGGAGCTAAGGAAGAAGGGGCACTTGAAGGAGGCCTTTGAGGATGCTAAAACCATGTGACAGGCAGATAAGCTGGGGAAAGGGCACCCTAGGCAGAGGCAAGCCTGGCTAAAGGCGTGGAGACAAAACAGTGCACAGTGCACTCAGCCAACGGCAACTAGCCCAGCTGGGCTCCAGCAAGAAATGGGGCCACTGGTGGATTTGGTCAGATTGTGGAGGGAGTTGCATCCCACACTAAAAGCCTCGACTTGACTTGGTATAGAAACATACATTATGTGGCTCATAGTAGGTGCTTTGCCTGGTACGCACCATGCACTGTGAGGCTTGTAGTACATGCTTTGCTTGTACACACTTGGACTGTGCAACTCATAGTAGGTGCTTACTCTTCAAGGTATTGGGAGGTCATTAAATACATTTAAGCCACATAGTGGCACAACTGGGGCAGATCCAGGCATTATGGGGCTTAAAGCTTGGAGTCGTTTGCAGCAGAGGTGGGGAGCTTTTCAAGAAAATGAATTTAAAAACATATGACCTGCGAACAGATGGAAGCGTCCCGTGCAAGTGAGCGGCCCTCCGGCTTAAACTTCATTAGCCTCATCAGCCTCTGGGCATAGCTAATTCTGCACTGCAGTAAGAAAAGTCAGGCATGTGTGAGCAGGATGGACTAGAAAGGAGGCCAGATCACTGTGTTGCAGCATTGTTACTTCTCTCTTGTATATCATATAACATGGCTTACATGTTTATTTATCACCCCGACTATATGGTAAATGCTATGGAAATGTTTATCCCCCTTTTTAACCCACCGCAGAAGCCAGCACAATACCTTGATCGAGTGCTACACTAATGCTGGGCAATAAATTCATTATATTTGACATTTGCTATCTCCATTAACAAAGTGTGCCTCTCCCATTCTTTCTGACAACATTAACTGAGCATATACTATGTGCCAAGCACTGGGAACATCACCTGCTATGTGTCAAGGAAATGGGGATACAAAAGGCTCTCTCTCTGCTCTTGGGAAGCTCACAGCTCATAAGAAAGACAGGCAATGCTGTAATCCTACTGATTANCCGTTGCCGGACACAAAAAAAGACAAAAAGGAAAAAAAAAAAAAAAGGCATGGAGACAAAACAGTGCACAGTGCACTCAGCCAATGGCAACTAGCCCAGCTGGGCTCCAGCAAGAAATGGGGCCACTGGTGAATTTGGTCAGATTGTGGAGGGAGTTGCATCCCACACTAAAAGCCTCGACTTGACTTGGTATAGACACATACATTATGTGGTTCATAGTAGGTGCTTTGCTTGGTACGCACCATGCACTGTGTGGCCCACAGTAGGTGCTTTGCTTAGTATGCACCATGCACTGTGAGGCTTGTAATAGGTGCTTTGCTTGTACACACTTGGACTGTGCAACTCATAGTAGGTGCTTACTCTTCAAGGTATTAGGGGGTCATTAAATACATTTAAGCCACATAGTGGCACAACTGGGGCAGATCCAGGCATTATGGGGCCTGAAGCTTGGAGTAGTTTGCAGCAGAGGTGGGGAGCTTTTCAAGAAAATGAATTTAAAAACATATGACCTGTGAACAGATGGAAGCGTCCCGTGCAAGTGAGCGGCCCTCCGGCTTAAATTTCATTAGCCTCATCAGCCTCTGGGCATAGCTAATTCTGCACTGCAGTAAGAAAAGTCAGGCACGTGTGAGCAGGATCGACTAGAAAGGAGGCCAGATCACCGTGTTGCAGCATTGTTACTTCTCTCTTGTATATCATATAACATGGCTTACATGTTTATTTATCACCCCGATAAATAAATAAATGCTATGGAAATGTTTATCCCCCTTTTTTACCCACCGCAGAAGCCAGCATAATACCTTGATCGAGTGCTACACTAATGCTGGGCAATAAATTCATTATATTTGACATTTGCTATCTCCATTAACAAAGTGTGCCTCTCCCATTCTTTCTGACAACATTAACTGAGCATATACTATGTGCCAAGCCCTGGGAACATCACCTGCTATATGTCAAGGAAATGGGGATACAAAAGGCTCTCTCCCTGCTCTTGGGAAGCTCACAGCTCATAAGAAAGACAGGCAATGCTGTAATCCTACTGATTATTTACTGAGTGCCTGCTGCAAGCAAAAGTGGTTTGAGTAACATATCTCATTTAGTCCTAACAATCCAGGAGGCAGGCTATACTATCAACCCCATTGTACAAATAAGGTCACATAGCTAGTGAGTGAGGGGGTATGAAAACATGAACCCAGGAAGTCTAACTGCAGAGCCTACATTTGTAATCACACATAATAGGCAATCAATATTTAACAGTAACATAAAACTATGGTTGCACAGAAGGCAATAAATTCTAGGACAAGGTACAAGGGGCACACATGAGGAAGTAGGCAACTCCTGTGTAGTCAGGGAAGGTTGCAAAGAAGAAGGCATGAGCTGAGTCTCAAGGAATAAACATGAGTTCACCAAGCAGGTGAAGGGGAGGGAAGAGCATTCCAGATAGAGGGAACAGCAACTCCAGAAAAGAGCGGTCTCAGGCACGCACGCGCAGTGTGGCACCTTCCTTTCCAGAGCTAATCCCCTAAGCTCGAATGAATGGCTCCAACAGGTAGCTGCGGTAGTAAGAAAGTGACCAGGGTGGAAGCTTCCTGTGAGTATAATTCTTCAGGAGTCCAAATGAGGCTAACAAAAGAGAAATTAAACACAATGCTGTGTCATGGCACTTTGACATAAGTGTCAACTTAGAATTTCAAATAAAATTAGAAGATTCTTCTAATAATTATATAGGATGGCAAATAAGGTCCAGGGGCAAGTACACATGGCAAGAAGTGACTAATCGTATTTTGCAAAAAGGCAACCAGGGCTGACCCTTCTCGGGATAATATTGCAGGGAAGTCAGAGAGAAGGAAAGGTTACCAGCGGTTAATGTTAAATAGTAATCCATCCACCACGCACCCCCCACCCGCTCCTCCATATTCATGGGAAGCTACCATCCATCCATATTCATTACCGTCCAAAGAGTTTAAAAGTAGCAAATGCAAGCTTGGAAGATTTCAGTTCTAATAAAAGTGCTTCCGGTGATGAGCGCCATAGGCTCCCCCCACCAGTCTCAAAATTAAGCTAAATTCATAAAGGGAAATAGCAGGTGGTGGAGCTGGGACAAGCCCTGGCTCCCTTAAAGCAGCAAGTGTACCATTCACTGGACCCAAGAGGTTCCAGGTGCAGGCCTGGGTTGGAATCCCAGCTCTACTACTTAGGGGGCAAGCTATATCACTGCACTCTGCCTCAGTTTCTCCTGTATCAACTGGCCATAATAACAGTACCTACCTCAAATGAGATAATCCACATCTTTGTCCCCGTGCTTGGCAGAGTGGCAGAGTGCTGAGTTCCATAAGCATTTGCTGTGATTCTTCTCTGATGCATCCAGCACATGATACAGGTGCCATCGGCCCCAGGTTAGAGACAAGAAAAGCAGCAGTAACCTGCTCCAGGTGGCACCGCTGCCAACAGCTGCAGGTGGGTCCACCCTCCCCACTGCAACTTGCCTCTCCATTGGACATCTTTGGGAGCTCTAAGGCATCTGCGAAGAACAGAACAGAGTTAAAACTCTTCCAGGAACAAAGTTAACTGCAAACATCCCCTCTGCCAGCCACCAGCAGGTTTCAGCTTTTCATTTTTTAATCTGATTTAGGATAATCAGTGAGATCCCTTCATCCTTTCAAGTTTATTGTCCACTGTCTTCATAACAACAGTCCCTATATCACTTAAATTAGGGTGATTTTGAGTTTTTCAAAGTGCTTACAAATATGTGAGCATCTAGCATCCTTACAATGACCCAACAGCAGAGACAAGTTGTGTATCATTGGGGGGTTTTGTTGTTTTGTTGTTGTTGTTGCTGTTATTGTCATTTCAATTTCACAGAGGAGAAAACTGAGACCAAAAGAGTTAAGGAATTTGTATAAAAAGTCACACTGCCGGGGCATAATATCAATCCAGGATTTTTGACCCCAGGGAGAGGGTGAGCTTCTAACTACAGCATGAAAGAATGAAAGAAGATTAGGGGAGGGTCCTGTGGAATGACAGGAGGTGGCAGCCCAGGGAGAGACCCTTAAAGCTCTTGAGACCCTGTATTCTCTGAGGATCCCAAGGGCCCACATTTCTGCTTGGCCACTCCATCCGGTCTTGCCGGCAAGTGGGAGGCACTGCTGAATAGTGGGAAGGGTGGGTTCCTGAATCCTAGGAGGCCTGCAGAGCTCTGGGACTCAGTACAGGGAGGAAAGCCTGGTGATGCCCGGGTTGTACATATAAAAGGCATATCTCGGAGTGGTGGAGTGTGCTGGGGACCCAGGACACTGACTTTTCTCTCCGAGTGCTGTTTGCCAGGGCGAGGCAGGCCGGTGAAAGAGGTTGCCTCCCACCCCCCAACCCCACCCACGCTGGGTCGAGACAAACTAGGGGGACCTTAATTCCCTTTACCCTGAAATGAAAGCCAGACCAGCGCAGAGTGGCTGTAAAGGCTGGAGGCTGAGACGACCGCTGGACCCTGGAGATAACAGAAGCACGGGCGGATCTTGACCCGGAGCCCCGGCTCCCTGGTCTTCTCCCCCGCGGCCCAGCGTGTCCCCAACTGCAAGCGCTTGCTGCGCTGGGCCGGGAGCCAGAGATTCGGGGACATTAGGGGCTCGCAAGGCGAGGGGGGGGGGCAGATTGGGAAAGGAAATGCGAGAAGAGCGGGTCGGGGGACACTGAATTCAACTAAACACACGGGAAAAGAAAAACTCCTCGCTCAGAAGCCAGAAAACGAGCTCCCGAGCCGGGGGGACACTGGCGCGCCCCCGCCAGGCGTGAGGGCCCCGGGTCAGGGGAGCAGCCTGGGGGCCCGATGGTGGCGTCGACCCCAGGCAAGACCTGCGCCCACCCACCCATTGCAACTCTGGGTCTGTAGAAAGGCCACAGCGAAGGAAACGGAATTTGGTCAAATCAGAGTGCTTTAGAGACAGCAAAAAAAAAACCAACAAAAAACCGTAGCTGGGAGCGTTAATTCCGTCGGGGCGAGTTTGGGGACGCGTTTCGGACGCGTGCACGGCCCTCCCGGGCAGCTGGCCCCGAGCGAGGGGGTAGGAGCTCTCAGCGCGGGTCCCCGCGAGACCCCTCAATGTCACCAACCCGCAGGGAGCCTTGGCGCACGTTCGCGTTTGCAAATCCAGGCGGGACGGCGGGGACTCCCTGCTGTCCAGGGGACTAGGTCTCTCAAGCCCTCACGGCTGTCGCTGCCTGCCCGCGGGGCACAGCCTCGTAAAGGGGCCCGGAAGCAGCCTCTGCGCGGCGCCACCCGGAGCCGGCGTCTTTGCGCCCGGGGAAGGGCGCGCCACCCCGGCGCAGGCGACCGGGCGGCGACAGGCGAGCGCCCTGGTCCTCGCCGCCCCACCTGGTCTGGCCTCCATTGGCTTGCTAAATTATTCCTGTTGTTTTAGTAGTTCCGTTCTTCACAGCCACCGAGGGAGGCTTGTTCGGACAAATCCGAACCAGAGTCTCTACTCTTGTCACCGCACTAGCCTCTCGGGGAGGGGCCCTGCTCCCCCGGGAGACTAGGAAATTGTTACAGCTTCCAGTCCCTTCCCCCACCTGCTTCAGGGTGGCCAGGGCGGGGAGTTTTCAGCAACAGGTGACTGGAGGCACCGGCACCCAAAGCAAGTCGCCTCCCCCCTCCCTCTCTGATTCTTCCCACGGTTTCTGGGGCCCTGCAGCCCAAGGCAGTGGCTGTCCAGCTGTCCCGTTTTCAGCAACAGGTGACTGGAGGCACCGGCACCCAAAGCAAGTCGCCTCCCCCCTCCCTCCCTGATTCTTCCCATGGTTTCTGGGGCCCTGCAGCCCAAGGCAGTGGCTTTCCAGCTGTCCTTGAGCATTTTGTTTAGAATGGGAGCGAGCCAGCTTACTAAAGTGACATAAAAACCTCACTTGGATTTACAAAGAGATTCATACAACTGTAAGAGCTTGCATTTGTTTTGAGGCTCTTGCTGTGTGTTGTTTTCTTTTTTTTTTTTTAAATGAGAGATTGCCAGACAGAGAAATCAAATTACAAAATAACTTTCTAACATGAATAGTGCAATGGTGTAAAATTGTGCAGTTGACGAAGCAATTAAAAGATTTATAATAAGTAAATATTCATCGTGTATTTCAGGCAGATGACTGCATATTCAGGTACAAGAGACTATGTGATGAGCAGCCCTCTTAATCCCGACAGTGAAAGTATATCCTCATTTAGGGAGATGACCTAAAGTCTAAACTGAGACCTTTGGGGAATATGAAGCCTGGAACAATTGGCCATGCTAGGGTGCTGGAAAAGATGTCAGAGGCCAGAATTCACCTCCTTCGTGTACAAAACGGGTAAACCAAGGCTGTTGAGGTCGTGAGTGAACCGAGCCTGAGCCAATTCTCCACCATTAGCAGGACAAAAAGCCCAATGTCCTGCTTGCAAGAGATACTCTTATTCTCAATTCTCAGTCCCATTCTACAGATGGAAAAACGGAGGCAGAGAAAGAGAAAGTGCCTGCACCAAGCTTCCCTCATGTGCTCTTGCTGCAGATCTGAGAAATTCCTCCATTCTTCTCATTAGACTTAGGTTGGTGTTCCAGCTGGCTGTGGTTCTACCCAAATTGCTGGACCCTGCCTGCACCCCTATGAAATCTAAAAGGCTTTTTTTGAACCTTTGATTAAATGGCATAGTTATATTATTATTGCTATCTCTACTCCATAAGTGAAAAACAGCTCCAGAGCAGGGCTGCTGGGAGAGGCTTCGCAGACTGATAGGGGCTAAGCTGGCAGGTGTGCTGGTCCTGGCATCCAAAGCAAAGCCACAGCCCTGGATCTGAGGGTTTTATTGTTTTAAGAGGTACAAGTTCACAGCTTCCTGCATGGAAGCCTCTTCGTTCTCTCGGAGCCAAGCTTAAATGCCTCTAAAAACTTGGCCTGCCGTTATCCTGTAGCTGTTAATTGAGCTTTGAAAACTTTACATTATGTTTACAGTGCACTGTGTGAATCACAAAATAAATTAGAACCCGAGGCAAAGAAATTGGAGTTTTCAATAAATGGAACAAAAACCAAGGGAGAGTCTCTTCTTAGACAATATAAGATTCACTCTGATATTTTTCACATTGATATTTCTTTCTAAGGGGGAAAATGGACTTTGAAAAAGTACATTTTTGCTTCTTAAAAACAAAATGTACTACCTAAAGATTCATAGTTTTTCCTCTGCATGGCGGTCTGAGTTGTATAATTCTGCAAAGACAATATACTGAAGAAAAAATAAGGAGACAGTAAGTGGAATGTACAAGAAAGGCATTTTTTTGCCACTTAGGAAACCAAAAATACAAGATGGCATTAATGATTCATACAGTTAAAGGCAACAAAAGAAAACAAAATTACAATACAGTTTAACTTGAGTCCTAAAGCAGATTCCAGGTAAATTTTATATTTGCTTTTCATTTTTTAAGCAACCTGTACTAAGTTTGGGAGACCAAAAATAGCTTTTTTAAAAGGGCATAAACAAAACCCCACACAAGGAGGAACAGCTGATGTTTTTCAAACCTCTACCCTGGAAGATACTCTTAAAATATAGTCTTTAGAACATTATTCCTCAATTTTCAAAACAAAATATGTACGCTTTCTTCCTTCTGTAAATTTCACATTTGGGAAACAGGGCTTACTAAGGAAGGCTTGACACCTGATCCTAAAAATTATTGTTGTAAAACTGAGCAAATATGTAAGCTTTTATGAACAGAAGAAGGAAGAGACCATGTGTTTACATCAGATAATTTTGTTTTAATCCTGCCAAGTGGATCATTAACAGCAGTTCAATTCTTAAAATTTTAAGAGAATAAAGAAAGAGCAGTCTTCAATCTGACTTCTTGAAATATTTGATAATTAGTTTTAAAATTAAGAATTTGCCGTCTGCCTCTCAAAACAGATGCAAAAGTGATATAAATTTCAATCATGCAGGCAGTCCAAGTATACTATTTCTACATGTCCTATTATAAAAGCTATAAGTGAAGAAAAAATACAGGAGAAAAGAAGGGTTAAAAAAATTTAATGCGGAGTGTCTCTTAAAATATATCTGGTTTAAATCTGCATTAATACAGTCACTTTCCCAGAATAATCTCATATAGATAATTGCTAACAACATGATAGCTATCTAACTTCTTTCGCCAAAAATAAAACAAAACAAAACAAAACAAAAAAATAGCTCTATTGCATTTCCTAATTTTTAAAAAAATCTGGTATTTTGAAACCTTTCTAAGAATTATAAGTGAAATGATGTAGAGATGAACTGCAGAAGATGACACATAACTGTGCAGTTAATAGACATTTTAGAGACCATTTCCTCCACAAAAAAATAAATAACTTAATGGAAATGGAGATGACAAAGCCTGAGCTCTGTATTGGGCTTTGTGAACAGAAGATAAAAAAAGTTATAATGCTTGTTATTTCTTTCCTTCTTTTTTTAAAAAAAATTTTTCTTTCCTTTTCATTTTTCTTTATTTTTCCTTTCCTTTCTAATCCTGTTTATTTGAGGGGTGGTATGGGAGAAAGGACAAAGAGCTTCACTAGCTGGTGACCTCGGCCCATCCGGTTGCAGAGCCTGACTTGGTTTCCTCATATGGAGGTGAATATGGATATAAGTACGCTGTATAAGGAAAATGGGTATATATACACGATGGAATACTAGTCAGCCAGAAAAAAAGAATGAAATTCTGCCACTTGCAGCCGCATGGATGAGCTTGGAGAAAATTATCTTAAGTGAAATAAGGTGGGCACAGAAAGAGAAATACTGCATGTTCTTACCCACAACTGGGCACTAAGAAAGAGGGGGAGAGAGAGAGAGAGAGAGAGAGAGAAAGGAAAAGAGAAAAGAAAATAAACCACAACAGTACGTTGAACTTTCAGGAGACAACAAACCTAAGGATACTAGAGCTGGGAGGGGAGGAAGTTGGGGACTGACAGGTCAGATGGTTAGCATGGGGAAAGAATACAATTTGTAATGATGAATATGCTAGCAACAATTTAAAAAAGAAACGGGACAAAAAAAAGATAATGTGAATCTTTCCATGAACTTTTTGAAGATTCCTCATGTATTTCACTTAAAAATCGGATGAATATATACTTATTGCTGAACAAGTTTGAGAATGCTGGAAAAAATATATGTGAATAGCCATACAGATTAAGACCCGAGGTGTTTATATCCAAGTAATAAAAATGAGCAAACAAAAAACCCAAAGTTGCAATACATATATTGCAATGAAGAGTATTTGAGAAACTTATAATAAAAACATGTTTAAAATTTTTTAAAAAGAAATGAAAGAAGTGGGTATAGAAATAGATATGGCTGTAAGTCTAAGTGCAGACACAGGTATAGGAAGGAGTGTGATTATTAATATGGAAAAATATATAGATATGGAAATCTGGACATAACTATAGATACAGAAAAGAGATAAAAAGAGATCTAGAAAAGCTTCAGACATGGAAATAGATAGATATGTTGCAGATGGTGTGTGTTGGCAATAATGGTATTTATCTTGGTGACCTGACAGGCTCAATGGCAAACAGCTGAAAGAATGCCGCTACTGTTTTTTGTAAACCAAAAGTATGAGAAATGTAAACATCACCTCCACTTGATCAGTGCCTAGTGCTTTTTCAATGAATTGGGCAGTTCAAATGCTATGTGGTTAAGAGAATTGGGGGGGAAGTGTCATAACTGGAGTTTTCCCCACATTCATGCTCCTGTGCATTTTTTCACTCTACAGCTGCTGATCAAGTGTTTTAGTAGGTAGAGAGTTTGCTTTTCTCAACCTGCTTTTGAGTATAATTTCTAATGATCAGAACAGTTAAGAGCATTCAGTAAATACTGTCTCTAGACCAGACACTGTAGATTACAAGCAGCCTCACACCCATTAATCATTCATTGTATCGATGCTAGAAGACTGGATGGTGTTCTCCACCATCTGGCTGGTAAGGAAACTGAGGCACAGAGAGCAGTGGAAGAGCAGGTGCTGAGTCCCACAGCTACTCAGAGGAGGATCTGGATGCAAAAGCTTGGCCCCCACAGCTTTTAAGAAAACAAACATAAAGTACAAATATTGATTGAGTGCCTTAATTTGTCCACAGTCAGGCATTTTTCCAGACAGGGACAAGTGTCCAGCCAACAACTCCTGGACTGTGGGAAGGCCTCATATTTCACTGGCAGAAGTAAAGAGACACAGAGGGCCTTCAGGACAGGGATGTTCTGGCAAGGACATTATTCCAGTTCTGAACACCCATGAGCACAGTCACGGGAACTAGCCGTGCACACCCAACTCTCCTTGAGTCATCTGTGTGTAGCAGACTCATCGATTGAGTGCTTGCTCCATGTCAGGCAGGTGGAGAAGCCAGGTCATCCTCCCTGCCCTTCCATTTGACGGACGACATTGAGACCTAGAGACACTAAGCTGTCCAGGATCATTCAGCAGGCAGGTGGAGAAGCCAGGACTTGAACCTGTGAGTTCTGGCCTCAGGTCTGAGATCAAGGCTGGCAAATTTTTCTGAGCACAAGCAAAAGTTGGAAGGGTAGAGGAGAGTTCCATTTTGCCTGGATTGGAATCATGATTTGCCTAGCAGAAGGAAATCTGGACTCCCGAGGCTCCTTGGCCTCTGGTTTCACAAGTGCCCTCATGCAGGAATAGCAACCAGGCACATGTGCTCTGATTTTCTTGCTACAGAGTTAAAGGATGCACATCTCTCCATCCTCAGATACCAAAAGCACCCACATAAATCTTGCTGCTCTGCTAACAATGCAGGGCGGGATCTGTTTGTCCTCTGGGCTTTACAACTTCCAGTTCTTTCTGTCCCACGGTAACTGTACATCTTCTGCAGTTCTCCTGTGTTCACGACCCTATCCTGCAGCACAAATTATGGGCTGACTCCAAACAATGATTTTTACTTAACTTTTGCATTTCCATGCTAGCTATAAAAATGTGCATGACCCTTCGACTTGGGCCTTTTGACCTTTGACACATGCATAGCCTTGAATACTTAGAGGAAATGAAAAGTGTATCTAATTCCCCACTAACAGGAAAAGTGTATCTAATTCCCCACTGTGTAACAATGAAAACACCCCGTTATTGTCATTATTGGCTTGCCCATGACTTTCTTCCCACCGGAGGCTATTTGGACCCACGCACCAAGATGCTGAATGCCAGCTCTTGCTTCAACAAAACAAACAAAACAAGCTTTGGACTAGAAGCTAAAAAACGTAGATGTAGCCCAGCCTCTTACTCTGGGTAACCCTGAGCAGGATATTTACCCCCACTTTATTCTCCTGTGCGGTGGGGATGGTAAGACCTGCTCTGCCTGTCCTCACAGCCATAGTGAGGCTAAAAATAAAGATGATGGCTAGCACCTATGGGGTGCTTGTTTTGTGCTAGCTCAGTCTTCATGTATTTACATGTAATTCTCATCATACCCTAGGAGGTAGGACTTCAGCTTACAGAAGAGGAAACTGAGGCACAAAGAGGTCAAGTTACTTATGCAGAGCTGGTAAAGGTCGAAAGCTATAGATTTGATTCTAGGCTGGTCTCACTCTGAGCCTTTCTGGATCAAATCTGAGAGCATATGCAAAAATGCTTTTGCAGGCTGGAAAATGCAACCAAGTGCTAGAGATTATAAAACACATTAAACTTTTTTGTTGCTGTATTAATTTATAGCACTTTTGTGGGGCCTGGGGAGCTGATCCTAGTTTTGTCTCAAATTATCATCCTGGGCCTTATGAACTAGAAATCATCAAGTTTTCTTCCACCACTGAAATAGTAAGCTTTTGTATAATAAAATGCTACTGTTGATCCTGCCCATCAGGGAGAGTAGGAAGAGAGTTTTGGGGAAGCTGAAATTCAGTTTCAGGGCATTGATGTTCCAGTTTGCTAACTATATTGAGAACCCTAATGCAGCTTCCAAAAATGCCTCGCTCACTCCCAGGGAGTCAAATGCCAATTCCTGAAACAGCACAGCTTCTCTGTCATGCGGCACTGACTGTGACCTTGTTGGTACTGTGACCTTGGGCAAGGACATGTCACCCCTTTCCCCTTAGCCTCAGGTGCCACCTCTGAATTGGAAATCTAAAATTACCCATCGTGCCAACCTCACTGGATTGGATTAAGGACCCAGAGAAGTAGCAGATGGGAGAGGACTCACCAAACCAGAGAGCACCCGAAACCTTTGAGAGATTCGTATGCTTGTCAGTTGTTCTCTGTTGTTGGGCTTTCTTCACATTTCCATTGTCCTCCTTTCTTTGGTTCTGTCTGAATTTCTTTTAGATTCTAGACACCAAAAGGCAGCATTTGCATTTAGACCAAGGATATTTTTAGGGCCCCTTCATCCTCTCACTCTCTGTTGATGGGGGTGGGGTCATTCTTAAAACTGAGCTCTGCCTCCCATTCCCCACTCCCCAGCGCACTCCCCCACTCCCACTACTGCCACCTCCACGTCCCTGCACCTTTCGGAACAGAGCTGGAATTAGAAAAGTTCTGAGAGAGGAGAGCCCAAGCTTTCTTTCAGCGGCTAGTTTTGTATTCCTGATTACAATCCTACGTGTTTCCAGCACTGGCAGCCATCCGCGACGTCCCTGCACCTTTCGGAACAGAGCTGGAATTAGAAAAGTTCTGAGAGAGGAGAGCCCAAACTTTCTTTCAGCAGCTAGTTTTGTATTCCTGATTACAATCCTACGTGTTTCCAGCACTGGCAGCCATCCGCGTGCGGGATAAAGCTGAGTTGTCTATCACTCTAGGTTTTAGAGTAATCGTGGCTTTTACCTTCTTATTTTGATTCATTACCTTTGCAAAAGCATAAATCTGTCATTTTGGCACTAACTTCCATCATATGCATATTAATAAGAATAATAATCACAACATCAGTGATTTGGGATTTTATAACTGAGTTATTTTCCTTAAATGCCAGGGCAGAGTTAGCTAGAATGTAGCACGAATATTGCAAAGGATTTTTCTTCAGAGATCAATTTCTAAACTTTATAAACATTGTTTTTGGGTAGAAAAGTGAGCTTGCCTCAAAGAACCTGACTTTTCTAAACTCAAAATTATTTCTGCTAAGAAAATGGTGTCTATCCCCCTTTCTTGATCTGCTTAGATTGGAACTAATCTTTCTCTAAAAGTAATTAGCCACAGACTGACTATAAGTCAGTCTATAAGTATATTTTAGAAAATATACTTATTTCCTTTTATTTAAAATATTTACAAAGTGCCTACAATATGCCCTGCACTGGGTTAAAATTTAGGGATGCAAAGCTATTGCTTTCAGTGTGTTGTGATAGGATATCATTTCAAGAGTATTTCTCTTTTAAAATTTGTTTTATAATAGGCACAAGAGTCTTCTTCTCAGGGCAGTAAAACAATGTTTCATTAATGATAGAGACAAATTAGTGTGTGTGATCCCAGTAATTTTCACTTTAAACATTAGGCCTTCTCTTGCCGAACATTTTCACAGCAAGTTGATCACAATTTGACATGCATACAATTTAGGAAGATTGATTCATTATACAATTTTAAAAATTCTTGAATTGCAATTGTCAAATAATGATTGTTCAGCTAAGGAGTTTTGATGTTCTGAGAGTAGCCTTATAAATCTTCCTTACTGAATCAACTTGCGAAAATTTCAAAGCAAAATAAAACACTTGGCCCTGAAAAGTGATGCTTATGTTGGACAGTTAATATAAACTCAGCAAGAAAGAGTTACATTAAATACTAATCCTACTCATCATAAATAACAAACAGTGTTAACTGATTTGTCTTTCATGTATAAAAAGGTGACGAAGGGATAGCATTAGGATAAAAAATTAATATTTGTTGAGTGTCTGCTGTATGCATTTTGGGTAAAGTGTTTTCATATTTATTAGCCATTTAACAAGCAGGTAATTGTGCCATACAGAGGAAAGGAATATTAACTCAGAGATGTTAAGCTACTTGTTTGAGGTCACACAGCATTCAGGGGTTGAGTTACCCTGAAGCCCATAATTAGCCTCCTTTCTGTATCCTATGCTATGTCTTACCCTAAATCAACTTTATTTATTTTTTATTTTTCCAGTTACACTCACAGTAACATAGTCAATGCACGATCATACTAGAAAATTGAAAAAAAAATCCAGTCAAAAGGCAAAAGTTCACCCATGATCCAAATACCCATAGTCACTTCTCCTTCCAGTCTTTCTTCTGCGTGTGTTATCCTCATGATCTCATGTGTTGGAGAGTGAGGAAAGGGTGCACTCACCAAGCCTCAAGACAACTCTGATTGTCTGGTATCTCTGATTTTTCAGTAAAGACCTGCACAGGCTAATTTTTAAATCTCCAGACTAAACGGAACAGCAGAGCTTAAAGCCCGTTTGAAATCTTAAAGCAGGTGGGCTCTGAGGGGCCAAAGCAGCTCCGTCTTCATGGCCTGGCCCATGTGGTTCTGGGTCTCTCTCCCGCTCACCCTATTCTATTTTTTACCTAGCACCACCTACACCCCTAACACTTCACTGACAATTCTCTGCCTTTTCTCCCCCAAACACAATGGAAAGTTAATTGAATGTTTTATGCCTTAGAAATATCAAAGAAATGAAAAGAACGTAGGTTTCAACCATATTTCAATAATAAGTGCATTAATTTTTGCCTTTTAACTGACACTTGTACTAATTTCCTTAAATGCTCTCTCTGGTTCTTTTTTGATCTGTCTGGCTTTGTTGGGCTGATGATGAAGGCTTACTTCAAATGCAAAAAGATTAGCTCTCTTTTCCTTAATAGCACAATTACAGATTGTATGATGTCTCTATCATGAAAAAGCAGGGACAGACTTTTAAAGTCACAGGAGTTTATTACAAAAGTGGCAGTAATAATTTTAATTACTTTACTCTACAAAAGATGACAAAATTGCCCTAATTGTCTAGTGGCATTTAGAAATTGTTGTGGGTAAAATGGGAGAAAAGCATTTAGTAGGGGTTCATCCCCCCACCTCTCACCCCCTTAATTCGTCTGGGTCAATGTCTTAATAAAGTATTGTGATACATTATAACTCTGAGCCCAAATTTCATACACTCTAAGTACAGTGGATGAAAGTCTTAGGGAATGCAGAATAAGTTTCTCTACGTAATATTCAAAATGAACTGGAAACGATAACTCTAAGTACTATTTGTGGCTTACTATTTAAAGCCCAGGAAAAACAAAGAATAAATTCCTTTAATTTTGTCAAACACGTACAATGTTTAAATTCAGTAGTGACTACAGTTCAAAAGACCAGATGTTCTTGTGTATTTATATAATTATTTTGCACAATAGTTTACCACTGGCAAAAAAAAAAAAAATCAAAGCATATTGTTGTACTTGGCATTTCTATGCACGACAAAAAAAGAAAAAATCTAGAGATTGCAATATATTGAATTAATTCTGATTTTATTAAAGCCAAAGAGAGAGAGAGAAATGGTGTGATAGTCATATTAGTCTTATACTAAATTAAGTCCAAGAATAAGAAGCAACATTGATCTGAGAATAAAAAGCCTCAACTCTAATGCATTTAGGTTAACAGAGGAGAAGCTGAAACTGTCTGACCCATTGTCAGTCTATTTTAAGATGAACATTTGTTCAATTCTAATGAAAAATGTTGCACTTAAACTCTGGCAAAGAGACAATTAGTACATCCTCCTCCCCCAACCCTCCCACAACTCAAAAAAAAGCAAAAAAAAAACCCCAGAATTTAAAAAGTAAAAGAAAAACTACGAAGAATTAAGTAGTTTTAAACTAATCTTCTGGATGAGGCTGCTATACTGTGGTAAAATTAGATGTTTCCAACAAAATCACCTAAACTAAGGACCTCCTAATTTCTATTATATATGAATACTCAGGTAGGAAATTGCACAGGTTCCCGTAATGAAGGACTTTTCTGACAGTAAATTTATTAATTAAAAAAAAAAAAACAGGTCCTTTCAATAAAAGCTACTCACCTAAAAAGAATGATTCTGGAATACAATAATAGAATGAGTGTTCTATAACACAGTGCATTTAAAAGACATTTTAGATTCTTAAATTATATCTATCCAATTCTTTGTTCACATAGATGACGAGTGTGGGGGATATTCTTGGGAAGTGGAGACTGATGTAAATGAATATTGTATCATGCAAAAAGAGTGAATACCTTTTCTCATTTAATATCTTCCAGATTTAGTAACTATTTTTTACTCTTAGTCAGAAAGAAAGAAAAGAAAAAACAGAAAAAGAAGAAAGAAAGAAAGGAGGGAGGGAGGGAAGGAGGGAGGGAGGGAGGGAGGGAGGGAGGGAAGGAAGGAAGGAAGGAAAGGAAGGAAGGAAGGAAGGAAGGAAGGAAGGAAGGAAGGAAGGAAGGAAGGAAGGAAGGAAGGAAGGAAGGAAGGAAGGAAAGAAGGAAGGAAGGAAAGAAGGAAGGAAGGAAGGAAGGAAGGGAAATTTACTTAAAAAATATAAGAACTCAAAGCTCTGAGCAGCTAATTAATTGAGGCCACAGAAAAAGGATATTTTTCCCAGCTCCTGGGGACATATTGCCCATCAGCAGACAGGTGGGCTTGCTAGTTTGATCACTGAAGAAAGAGTTCCCTGTTGGGGAAGTTAGCATTTTGGCCTCCATGCTGGTGAATCGGACTCCTCTTTGTCAATTCTACCCAACAATGTTCAGAACAGGCGCTTTTCTTTGCCGTTTTGGTTCTTAGGTGCTGGTTTTCATTCCCAACAACGTTGCATGGCAATTGCTGACATCATAGTACACTGCAGATGGTGATGCATCGAGGCAGTGCCACCCCATGAAGACCAGGATTTTGTGATCCTCAGCCACTGCTGTCACCTATATGCTGGACACATAGGAGACTCACTAAGTCACTGCCAATGAGATAAATAGATACATTGCAGAGAAAGGGGAGAGATATGCATCGTCCTATCTGGAAAAATAATTCTCTAAAAACTGTCATGAATAAAATTAAAGAAAATGCACTCCCTGGCATAGGTGAGATGAAGTTGAATTTGAAAGCCATTTCAGAGTTTCCGTGCAATTAAGACGACACTGGCTTTCTTCCCTGGCCTCATAAAGTCCCACACAGATGCCCCAGAGATAGTGTGACCCTGAAAGCGTCTGGGTGAACTTGGGCACTGCCTGGCTCACCCTTGCCTGAATTAATAAGTGCTCCAACGACGTGCCTGTTCACACGAGCACACTGTTCCGTTAGCAGTTTGCGCTTGGTGGGAAAAGATGGTGAGGCAGGCAACTCAGTCCTTGCCAAAATTTCGAATGTGTGACACCGCGAGAGAGACACCGTCAGGAGCAGTTGCTAATTTATTTTAAGTGCCCCCTGAGTTTTTAATTTATCTGGAAAAATAAATAGATAAATCCAAGGCTTTCCCTGCCAACCCGGCCCAGCACCAGGTCTGCCAGTGGCAGTGGAGGTTTGCGGGTGACAAGAACGGCCGCCAGTGAGAGGTGTCAGAATGTTCAGCCAACAAAGGAGGATGAGTGCTGACTATTCCTGGTTGCATTAGAATCGGATATATCACATTTGTATAGAGCTGACCTTTCCTTTTCCTAAATTGGCTGCCGAAACACATGCTAATTTTTTTTTTTTCCTTCAGAGAGTCTGCAATTCCAAACAGTACCGCAGGCTTCTCCAAGCCCGATTCAGTGGCAAGTTTGGAATACGATCAGTCTAGTTTAGAAATTCATTATCCAAAGCGAGGAGCCGGGCGAATATTATAGTTTCATAAATATGCAGATTTTGTTTATTTAAACATTTTTTTATTACACTTTGTGTTTTCCTAAATTGGGTCATCATTTTAATATAATTGGAATCTGATGTGTGTCCTGTTTTCCTTAAAAGCCATCTGGTTCATTTTCGACTCTCAGAAACCAAATTATTTGCGGTAATATTGGGCTTCGCTTGTGGCGCCTTTTGAACCTGCATGTGGCTTTGGGGTGTTGGACCGAGGAAGTCCAAGGCCATTGTGGGAGGGCTCCCTGCTCCCCACTCTCATGAGGGGTTTCCAAGCTGGACAGCTAAGATGGGACTCAGTGGAAATCTGTGGGGAACCGATGAAAGCAGAATTTGATTGAAGAGAATAAATAAATGTGACCCACTGGGCACCATCTTGGATGAAGGGCAAATAACCAATAGTTGCAAGTGTGGTGAAGGACACAAAGTGTAGTTCTGACATTTTACTCTCTAACCAGGTCATAAGATCCCTGAGGGAAGGAGTCATATGTCCTAACAGCTCCAGCTCTCACAGGATTGAGCACCTAACAGGTGCTGAAGATGTACTTATTGGTTGATGGAGATTCTAGAAATCCAAATGAAAACAACATAGCATGGTGCATTAGCTCTCCATTGCTGCATAACGAATTACTCCAGAACCGAGTGACTGAAAACAACACACGTTTATTATCACATAGTTTCTACAGGATCAGGAAGGTAGACATGGCTTAGCTGACCGCCCCACTCAGGGTCTCTGCAAGGGCCATAGGCCTCCCCCAATTCCTTGCCACATGGGCCTTTCCATAGGGCTGCTTTGCAAGGTGGCAACTTGCTTCACCTGAGCAAACACGTGGCAGGTCAAGAGAATGTGCTGGCAAGACAGAAGTCACAGTCTTCCACAGCCTCACCTCAGATGGAACAAATATCTCAACACCTTCACAGTACTCTACTGGTAACGTAAGAGTCACTGGGTCCAGGCCACACTCAATAGGAGGGGGTTACACAGGGGCATGAGGCAGTGGGAGCCACGTCCAAAGCCGCCAGTCAACCCGTGTGTAAGTATTACAGTGCAGTCGGTCAGGTGTCAACAAAGAACCCAGCAGACTGCAGAGCCTGTACTGGTAATAAGGAATTAAATTGAAATGACCTGCTCCTTACTCTAAAAACTACTTGTACACCCTTCAAAATGCTCATTGGAACCATTCCCTTACTCATTTATTTAGGCATATGGTAGAGAAGAGGACAACATTTTCTTCCAAAGTCCACCAGTCAGAATTCCTTTTTAAAGTTACAAAGACAGTTTGCATATCATTCCTTTGACCAACAAACATTTATTAAACGCCTCCTAGAGTGGAGCAGAATTCTGTTTGTTAGCTGCCATGGGCTCTGCTTCTAGGCTGACTTAGGTCAACCCCCGCTCTGCATGTGCCTGAGGGGACATTTCTTAGCTTCTCTCTCAGCCTGCTCACTCATACATGAGGATAACAACGGTACCTCTCGTAAAGAGCAGTTGTCAGAATAAGATGAGCAAATACAGCGTTTTTCAAACTGCAGATTATAACACATTCATCAATCTGAAGTCAGTTTAGTGCAATGGCTGTCAAACTTTGTGTGTGAAGTGCCGGGTACAATCCTAGGCTTTGCAGGCTAATGGTCTCTGCTGCAACTCTGCTCTTGTAGTGCAAAAGCAGCCATAGAGAATGCATAAATGAATGAGTATGGCTGTGTGCCAATAAAACTTTATTAACAAAAGCAGATAGCAGGCTGGATTTGGTCCAAGGGCCACAGTTTGCTGACCCTGGTTCAGTGGATTACAACTAGAAGTTTTAAAAATAAATTAAGTAGAATGGAAAATATCAATGTGTTTTGCACATAGGAAAGATGAACATAGTTTCTTAAAATTTTGGTCTCAGCTGTGGATATATGTATGGATATATATACACATATACATGAAGGCACTTCAGAAAGTTCATAAAAAAACAGAATTAAAAGATAATACTAATCTTTCCATGAAGTTTTTGAAGTATCTTCACACATACACACACACTTCACACTTGCACAGATATACACACATCATTTACCATATTGAAATGTAAAATGTATTTGTTTCCATAGTTTGGGATTTAAAAAAAGAATAAGAAAGCCACTAAATTAATGTGTATGATGCATTTCGTATGGTGCCTGGCCCACAGCATGTACTGAATAAATGTGAGCTACGATTCAACCTTGTGCTAGATGCAGCAGAGACCATGCAGAGAGGACCTGCAGCCACGTCCTCAAGGAGGCACGATTGGAAAGAAATCAGTAATGGTGGGGAGGACTGGCCCTCCAGAGAGCTAAGTGTGAGGCTTCAAATGGAAAAGCTAAGAACGGTACGTCTGTAAGTACTAAGACGACATATATAGTGTTGGGCATCTAGCACAGTTAGGAGGAGTCCTAAAGAAGGACCAGGCTTTCCTCAATGAGGAAGAGGTGGACTCCAAACTGGGTTTGAAAGACTAGGAGGATATGGATGTTTAGTCCTGGAAATGTTGTAAAATTAGTTGGCTGCAGTCAGTTTAATTCTCTCTAGGAATTGTCCTTATAAAAGCATTTATACATTCATCAACAAATATTTACTGAGCAACTGTCATGGGCCAGGCACCATTCTAGTACTAAGGATATGGTAGTAACTGCAACAAAATCCTGACCATGTGGAGTTTATGTTCTACAGAGTGATGGGGACTTGGGGAGACATTTGAGAGAGATGTGATTGAAGCAAAGGAGTGAACCTCTGATTTCCCAAGGGGAGAGTTCCAGGCAGGGAACAGCCAATGCAAAGACTCCGGGGTGGGCACATATTTGGTATGAGTGGGAACAGCAGGGCTCCACCACCAAGTCGTGTGTGAAAACTCAGAGAAGGCAGGAGTAAGGGCCTTTGTCTTCCACAATCAGGCAGCCTACCTCAGAGCAATGGTTTGGCTTCTCCCTCAGTTCATGGTCAACGTCAATGAATTGCAAGTCAAGATTTATACCGCCCGTTGTCTATCCTGCTGGGTAGGCAGCCTGAAGAAAGGGAAGAAATCTGAGTCAGATCAACAATCGCGCTTTTCATTTGCACCTGCTCTAAGAACCATGACTATAAAAAATTAAATAAATCTGGGCCGGCCCGGTGGCGCACTGCTACAGTGCGCCGCTTGGGAGTGTGGTGGCGCTCCCGCCGAGGGTTCGGATCCCACATACAGACCGGTTCCCGCTCACTGGCTGAGCGAGGTGTGGGAGCAACACCAAGGGTTGCGATCCCGTTGCCGGTCCCGGTCCGGTACGGGCGCTACACTGA